AAACCCTAAACCCTAAACCCTCTCTAAACCGAACTCAGAGGCCAATGCGGGACACCGCAGCAGCGCGGATCCGGTTGTAGCTGCTGCAGTCGCTGCTGCACCAGCCGTTGCTGCTGCTGCTTTTGCTGCTGCTGCTGCTGCTGCAGTTGCTGCTGCTGCTGCTGCTCGTCCCACGGTTTTTCATGCAGTTCTTTGGGCCGGGCTGCTTCTCGAGGAAAGCCCACAGCTGCTACTTTACTTGGTGCTGCTGCTGCTGCTGCTGCCGCTGCTGCTGCTGCTCGCTGTGCTGCTGCTGCGGGGCAGGCCATGCCTATTGAAGCCAGAAGTAGGCTGCTTGAACATTGCTGGTCTACCCCGTTGCTGCTGCTGCTGTTATCGCTGCTGCTGCTGTTATCGCTGCTGCTGCTTTTATCGCTGCTGCTGTTTTTGTCGCTGCTGCTGCCATTTGCTTCTAAAGTATCGTGGCGGCGCTGCAGTCTAGAAGCAGCAGCAGCAGCAGCAGCAGCACACCTTTCCTGCTCAGAGATTTTTCGAGCAAGGTGTCAGCTGCTGTGGCTCAGAGGCTTCTCCTGTGGCCGCTTTTAGTGTTGCAGCATCTGCTGCTGCTGCTGTTGCTGCTGCTGCTGTTGTTCCCGCATGTCTAGTGCAGCACCGGAGGTCGGAGGTTTCTGGCCCATACAGACAGTTGGATGACATACTGGGCTAGCAGATCTTTGCTGCTGCTGTTGCTGCTGCTGCTGCTGCTGCTGGTTCAACCACTGGGTATGGGGGCCCCAAGGGCAGCTGGGGCCCCCCTGTTGCATGTTGCTGCAGCAGTTGCTGCAGCTTTTTTGCCTTGAAAGAGGGAAGAATAAAATAGTTCTTTAAAGGAAATGAAGCTAAAGAAAGCAGCAGCAGCAGCAGCTGCTGCTGCTGCTCCCGCCGCTGCTGCTGCTACTGCTGCTGCCGATGGTCCACAGGGGCCCCCTGGTGGTGAGGCTCTTACAAATGGCAGCAGCAGATGCAGCAGCTGCTGCAGCACTATTTCCATTACTTTAAAGACTGCTAAATTCAAACTCTAAGTTTTTTCAAACCTTAAACCCTAAACCCTAAACCCTAAACCCTAGACCTGCGCCCACAGGCTCCTTGCGGCGACCTCATCAAGCCGCTGGTGCCTGCGGCCCATTGGCCAGCAGCAGCTCGGTTAGCAGCAGCATTGAAAATTTTAAATTCCTTCAACAGCAGCAAATTAATTCTGCTGCTGCTGCTCAGCAGCAGCAGCACAAGTAGCCGGCAGCAGCAGCAGCCACAGCAGCAGCTGCTGCTGCGTCAACAGCAGCAACGACCGCAGCAGCAGCAGCAGCAGCACCATTGAGGGGCTTTAGCCAGCCATGCAGATCAGGCAAAGAAGCAGCTCCTCCCCAGAGGCGGCGGCCAAGTTCTGAGCAGCGGCAGCAGCAGCAGCAGCAAAAACAACAGCAGAAATGTCCACGTATGGCTTGCAGCAGCAGCGGCGATGTCTGCTGCTGCTGCTGCTTTCGCTGCTGCTGCTGCTGCTGCTACCCAGCAGCACCCTAGCTGCGCGCTCGCGAGCGGCGCGTTCGTCTGCTGCAGCTCGGCGCAGAGCAGCAGCCGCAGCAGCAGCAGCAGCAGCAGCCGCAAAAGAACCAGTTCCCCTCTACGATGAGGACATGCTTCCTGCTGCTGTGCAGGCTTTCCTGCAGCAGGACAGCAGCAGCAGCAGCAGCAGCGGCGCAGTGCAGCTAGTTGCTGCTGTCGGCAGCAACAGTGCAGCAACGCAGCACGGGGTCTCAGCCCTTATGTATGCAGAGCTGGACCATCGGCTGCATCGCATGCAGCATGCGCAGCAGCTGCAGCAGCCCCACAGGCGGCAGCAGCAGCAGCAGCAGGAGGACTATGATGGCGGGGCAGCAACAGCAGTCAAAAAGCTGCAGAGCGCAATGGCCCACCTCTCCATGCTGCAGCAGCAGCAGCAGCTTCAGCAGCTGCAGCAGCAGCAGCAGCAGGAGGAAGACAATCAGGGAGATTCAAGTGAGAACGACACTGCAACAAACCAGCAGCAGCAAGAGCAGCAGGAGCAGCAGCAGCAGCAGCAGAGGCTCGTGTTTCTGCGCCAGTATTTATCGGAGGTAGCTACACTGAAGTCGTTGCAGGTTGCGAGCTCTGAGCAGCAGCAGCAGCAGCAGCAGCAGCAGCAGCAAGAAGGCAGCTCAATTTTGAGCGGGAATTCCCAGAAGCACACGCACTTCCCGGGCATCCGCGCAGCGCGAGCAGCCAGCAGCAGCAGCAGCAGCAGCAGCAGCAGCAGCAGCAGCGGCAGCAGCAGCAGCAGCAGCAAAGTGGCCGGGCTACCCGTCGTGCGCGCAAGAAGAGATGTGGGGGCAGCTTTAACTCAAGCAGCTCTTAGTGCTTCTTTTGAGCAGACGCGGTGGCGTCGGCAGCTGCAGCTGCTGCGCAAGCGGGACAGCAGCAGCAGCAGCAGCAGCAAACAGGGCTACATCCTCGCGGACTCCTGCATCGCCGTCGACTTCCGAAGGGCCGTCAGAAAAGCTGCTGCTGCTGCTGCTGCTGCTGCAGAGGAGCGCGACGCTGCAGAGGCCGGGGAGCAGCAGGCCAGCGACGCCGAGAGCGACTCCGCAGCAGCAGCAGCAGAAGCAGCAGCAGCAGCGCGCAGCGGGAGATATGATGCAGCAAACAACAGCTGCAGCTGCCCCTTCGGCTGGAAGCCTTGCTCTCGAGATGAGGCTTTGAGCAGCTCTTATGGCTGGAGGCAAACGCTGCAGCGCGTGTGCACCGAAGAGCAGCAGCAGCAGCAGCAGCAGCAGCAGGAGCAGCAGGAGCAGCAGCAGCAGGAGCAGCAGGAGCAGCAGCTGGTGGTCAAGGCGTACGCAAAGGGGCTGTTCTCCTTCGACTGCAGCGGCAACCAGCTGCAGCCTGCTGCTGCTGCTGCTGGAGAGCAGGAGTGTTCTGCTGCTGCTCTGGTGCTTTGCAGGGAAGTTGAGCCGCGGTGTGGCGTCAGCCAGTGGTGAGAGCCCCAAACCCTAAACCCTAAACCCTAAATCAGGGTTTGAGCGCTAGGCCCCTTTCCCCCGCCCCCGGGGTGCGCAGCCACGCCGCCACCCTGCAAGCCGCGTAGCCCGCGGCAGCACCAGCTAGGGTTTAGGGTTTAGGGTTTAGGGTTTAGGGTTTAGGGTTTAGGGTTTGCGTGCAGGTCGGAGTGGTCGAGCTGCTCGGCCCCCTGCGGCGAAGGCCAGGCCTACCGCTTCCGACGGCCGCTGCTGGCAGCAGAAATTGAGGGGCTGCAGCAGCAGCAGCAGCAGCAGCTGGAGGCCCCCAGCAGCTGCTTGCCTTACCACTTAGAAGAGCGCCGCAGCTGTTTTGCTGCTGCTGCTGCTTGCCCCTCCCTCGTCGCCCGCCAGCCCTGCTTCTGGGCCTACGCAGACCCCCACACGTCAGCTCCTGCTGCTGCTGCTGCTGTGTGTTGTGCTGCTGCTGCTGCTGCTGCTGCCGCTGTGTGTGTGTGGCTGCTGTGTGTGCTGCTGCTGTGTGTGCTGCTGCTGCTGTTGCAGTGTGTGCTGCTGCTGCTGTGCGTGCTACTGTTGCAGTGTGTGCTGCTGCTGTGCGTGCTACTGCTGTGTGCGGTGCTGCTGCTGCGCTGCTGCTGGTGCTGTGTGTGCTGCTGCTGCTGTGTGTGCTGCTGCGGCTATGTGTGCTGCTGCTGTGAGTGTTGCTGCTGCTGTGTATCTTGCTGCTACTTCAGCGCTTGTGGCTGCTTCTCGTCTTGCTGCTGCTGCTAATGGTTGTGTTGTCGCGGCTGCTGCTGCTGCTACTGCTGCGAGCGGCGCTGCTCATGCTGCTGCTGCTCATGGTGTTCTGCTGCGTCTCCTGCCATTGCTCCCGCTGCTGCTGTTGCTGCTGTTGCTGCTGCTGCTGCTGCTGCTGCTGCTGCTGCTGCAGGCCTCAGAGCGTGTACACAAAAGGCAGCTGCGTGTGCACTTTAAAGAGCAAGGGGGCGCAGGAGGAGACGGAGGAGCTGCAGCAGCTTTTCAAAGAAGAGGAGCAGCAGCAGCAGCAACCCCTCGTTGCATGCACAGCAGCAGAAGCTGCTTACAGCTTCTCGCAATGGAGGCAGCAAATCGGACAGTACTGCTTTACGGCCCTTAAGTTGGCTAACAAGCCGCCCCAGGTTCGCTAACTGCTGCTGCTGCTGCAGTTGCTGCTGCTGCTGCTGCTGCCATTGCTGGCGCTGCTGCTTTCGCTGCGGCTGCTGCTGCTGCTGACACTGCTTTTGCCGCATTTGGGGTTACTCAGACCTGCGCCCACCCGTACTTAGCTCATTTGTTGCTGTGTTGCTGCTGCTTGTGCTGCTGCTGCTGCTGCTGCTGCTGCTGCTGCAGATGATAAAGTACAGCAGCCAAGCCGGAAGCACGCGCGTTGGCCTGGCCTCTTTGGGCTATGTCGACTGCTCAGGTAAATAATTTGAATAATTTAGTGTAAAGAATTAAATTAAATTAAAATTAAAAAGAATTATATGTTTAATTAATTACATTTAATTAGAATTATTAAACAATTGTTATTCTTCTTTTATAAGACACTTCTCGACTTGCTGCTGCAGCAGCTTATTGCTGCAGCAGCTAATTGCTGCAGCAAGAGGCGAGACTTTTTCTTTGCTGCGCTCTTTGCTTCTCCTCCTTTTCTTTTTATTTCTTTTTAATTTTTTACTTCTTTTTGATCTTTTTATTTCTTTTGTTTCTTTTTGTTTTTTTCTCTTTTTACATTCTTCATGTCCTTTTATTTTATTCTCTTTTGTCGCTTTTTATCTTTTTCCCCTTTTTGTCTCTTTCCTCCTTCCTGCCTTCGGCCCGTCGGCTCACCTGCTGCTGCTGCTGCTGCTGCTGCTGCTGCTGCTGCTGCTTCAGGCGGCTGGGGCCACATGGACAACAGCTCTATGGCTGCCTTCTGCGGCCGAGGCCTCCCCATGCTGTGCAGGCGCAGCAGCAGCAGCAAAGACGCAGCAGCAGCTTTTGCAGTGGACAGCTACACCGAGATAGAGCTTTCCGCCCTGCAGCAGAGTGAGTGGACCTGCTGCTGCTGCTGCCGCCTTGGCTGCTGCGGCTGCTGCTGCTGCTGCTATTGCTGCTTCTCCGCCTGGGCTGTGTTTTACTGTTGCTGCTGCTTGTGGGACTGCCGCATCTGTCTCCCGTGTATTTGCGTCGGCTTGCTTCAGCAGCAGCAATAGCAGCAGCAATAGCAACAGCAGCAGCAGCAGCAGCAGCAGTTGACGCTCTGCTCGCATTGCTGCTGCTTGCACAGGATTGCTGCAGCTTTGCACTGCTGTACGCTCAGTGTCTGCTTTTTTGTGTCTTAGTTTTTACTGTTTCTTTGTCTCATTTCTCTATCGCGTGTTTCCCCCTGTGCTGCTACTGCTGCTGCTGCTGCTGCTGCTGCAGCTTTCTCCTACGCGCACCACCTGGAGGAACCGGAGAGCCCTGACAGCTCCTGGGTGGCCTTTTTGCTGGGGGCATCTGTTGCTGCTTTGCTGCTGCTGTTTGCATACCTGCACAAGCGCAGATTGTCTGCATATTTCAAGGAAACTGTGCGTCCTGCAGCAGCAGCAGCAGCTGCTGCTGCAGCAGGCGCAGCTGCCTCTACATATGCAGACAATCTGCGC